TATGGCAGCACTACTGCTATGGACTGCAAGCGCCTGCAGAGAGTGGTAAAGACTGCGGAGAAGATCACCAGGACTCCACTGCCCTCTCTGCAGTGCGTTTATAAAATACCACTTTCTCACTTGCCATACATCAGCCTCATCAGCTTTGACCAGTTGTTTTTCCTCCAAGGCCTGCTCACATTCCTTGCACTCCATTACTTTTTCTCCATCCCACGGACAGTCACAACGTCTTTCTTCAGTAGTCGATCGAGCAATTATTTTCAATCTGTGAAGCAGGTGAATTTGGCACTTCAAACAAAATTATGCATTCATCACTTTTACTGGCTGGGAGGTGTCAAAGTTCAACCCCCCCGGACCCCCCAATACAGTAAAACTACACATTTTAGAGTGGCCTTTTACTGTGGCTAGCCTAAGGCACAGCTGTGCAATAATCATGCCGTCTAATCAGCATCTGGATATGCCACACCTGTGAGGTGGATGGATTATCTCAGCAAAGGAGAAGTGCTCACTGACACAGATTTAGACAGATCTGTGAACAACATTTGAGAGAAATAGGTCTTTTGTGTACATAGAACAAGTCATAGATTTTTGAGTTCAGCTCATGAAAAATGGGGGCAAACAGAAAAGCGTTGCGTTTATAATTTTGTTCAGTGTAAGTGTTTTACTGCCAAATAAAGAGGGAACAGAGTACTCCTAGTCACAGTCCTAAATATTTTGGTCTTACCTTTTGTATCTTTGCTGTGATGGCTGGCTCCTCTTGTTTGGCTTGGACTCTCTTCAGAAAGACAAAATATATCAATTAATTCACAATTTTGACTTTGTTCAAAACTTCAGAAAGCATTACAAATATCAGGCTTGTTCACAAGATCACCATACTAAATTTAAACTTCACTGAAGCTCTTGTTGACTACTGACTCATGCAGAACTGCATTGCTGAACTAATGTGACTTTCTAGTCACTGTCAGGCTGCACAGCTATGCAATTACAATTGTGTACTGTAAAAAATCTAATAAACAGCAGCTACTGTACAAATTATGTTACATGTGGTGAAAAATACATTTTGCAAAAAGGAGGATTATCATGACAACATATCAAAGTGGCCACATCAGTTGACAGTTACCAAAATCAAATATTCTCTGTCTCTCTCTGTGTACAAAGCATTATAAAAGAATTCAGAATTTAAATGCAGGAAGATTTGACTCTACAATAATAAGTTGTACTCACCTTGGCACTGGTTCTGGCCCTGATCTCTCCTACATCTTTCAGTTTGGACTTGTAGAGCATCCAGCGGTAGCGGAGTTCCTCCAGACCCACATCCTCTATTGGCTCAGAACCACCCTCACTGCTCTGACTTTTTTGCAGCAACAGCTGGAAATGTTCCTGACCCCAGGCCAGTCTTGTCCTCAGAGCCTGTGCCAGGACACAGCAAAGTGCTTTAGGTACACTGGTGTGTTCAGAGATTTTTTTTTCTCCATTTCCAAAAAAATAAACAACATTAGATACATAACTTTTAAATCACAAGAGATCAGTGCAACAACGGTTTTCAGCCTGATGTATAACTGCACTAAACATAACATTAATTTAAGGGGGGGAAAGTAAATAAAATAAATAAATACTGGCAGATCACATATAATAATGGTTTTACCCCTGCAAATATATTGTTAATAAGCAAAAAGTAGGAAAAAGCTAATTAAATCTAATTAAGAAGAGCTTTGATGTTGTTTAGACAAACATTATAGCTGTTGCACTACATTTTCTTGATATATTAATAAGAAAAACCATAGACTTGGCAGACTCATTGGTTTAGAGGTAAAACAGGTTTCACTGAATGGATTGAAGGAAAAACGGTCAAGACATCACATTTCTATTTCCATTCAGTCATTTACACTCAGTGTCTCGCACAATGAAGTGTACTGACTGACAGCACCCAGCTACCATTGACAATACCATTTCACTTTGTCTTTCTTCATTCCACCTTCATCTACGATGGTATCGTCCAGCTTCTGATTAACTGAACACACCTGATCCAGGTAATTGGCAGTGGGTAGGGCAGGGATAATTGGTAAACAAACAGGGTAGCAACCCTTGAAGACCGGGATTGCCCAACCCTGGAGTAGAGCTTTCCACAGCTCTGGGCTGTTGCCTGACTGGGTTCCTTCAGTTGCTGTCTTGCACAGTGGGGTGGACTGAGTGACAGTGTTCAGTTTCCATTGACAATAAATTGGCAGCTGTCACTAACCCAGGGATTTGTCTCCATATGTTCTCAGAGTGCTCAGCAGCACAGCTGTGCACTTTGGGCAGAAGGGGGCTCACCATACAGTCAGCATTTCCAGCACTCACAGGGTTGAAGAATCCTTTAAAAAGTCTGTATCCAAATCATGATCCGGATCAGCACCAAAATCTAATCAACTGTTCTGTGGGCCATACCCTACCTCTCCAAAACATTTCATCAAAATATGTTAATTACATTTTGAGTTACTCTGTTAAACAAACACCGGCAAAAACGTTACCTCATTGTTAGTGGAGGTAACAAACGCTGGCAAATACAAAATCTACACATAAAAATTTGCACTATTTTCTGGATGCCTTATTTAACATGTCATAATATATGCTTTCTAGCATTCACTTCAAACACTCTCCTACAAGTCATCCTTCTACTTGGTGTGGAATGTGTGTGGGATGCATCATAAATAACTCCATCCTGTTCTGAGATAGGAGTATTTTAGTCCTAGGTTCTAATAACCTGAGATCCCTCTACTGGTCTATGAAGGTATCAACCAAAAGCATTGTAAAAGCTTGTTAAAACAGAAGACAAGAATGACAGATCATACTATAACTTCAGACTGGGCTGTACAAAAACAATATGCATGTATAAATGTTTACCAAAACCCACTTTGAGAATGTTCTGCTGGACCTTGAATTCTTTGGCACTGAGTGCTGCTCCCTTGGTGCTGGTTATCCCTGAGAGGAGTTCATTCTCCTTGCACAGCCAGGCCTCAAACTCTGTCCTCATGGATTTGTAGTCTCCTGTTTTATCCTGAAAAACCACAAACAACTCATACAAATGAAGATTCTTGCAGTCAGCAGTCATTGTATATTCAATTTGCATTTGGAGTGGGGATTTTTGGAGCTGATGTGTGAGTTAAGAAATCTATTCGCAGGAAATGTTTACCACAGCAACAAGTGCAAAAGACTGATGCTTAATTATCTGCATCAGTCACTGGTATGAATGCAAGCACTAAAATAACTTTAGCTAAGGGGCCACAGGGAGAAACTACTCTTGCCACACTTTTCTCATTGACAAAGTATTCTTTTTTGTTTTAGTAGAGCCTTTTAGTACCCACCAAGAACAGCTGTCTACAAATGGCAACTTTATTAAAATTTGCCTTCAGCCCCAGAATCCACCAGTAAACATGCATTTATTTAGAATGAGGTACCACATAAGCAGAATGTGAACTGTAATAATATTGTAAGGCACTGTCCTTGTTGCTTCAATTGATAATGTGCTTTAAAGCTCTGCAGACAAATACTATATGGACAAGGCCCCATTTTAACCCTAAATTTGTTATCCCCAACAAATTCCTAAAGTTGTGATGCCTAGTTGCCTTGTATGATAAGTTCTCTTCTGCAGCTCTACCTGTTGGAAACGACTTCGCTGTTGAATAAAAGTCAAAGACTTCCCATCTTAAACAGTCATTGTTGTAGCAACCAGTTAAATATTGGAGCTGCTTCAGCGAAATGTTTTCAGCTAATTTGTGTATTTTGTGAAGCAAGCCATAACATAAGGCAATAGTATGGGAAAATTATCTAGAAGACTTCTGTTTGTGAGGAGGAACCTTGAGCTTATCACTGAAAGTAAACTCTGAAATTAAATGCACAGGAAAAATATCTCAACTGCTGCTTCAGCCCAGTTTGCTAGTCTACTAAGTTAACCAATGAACAGGAACTCCATCTATATACTACCTATTGGATATTGGGCGAGAGGTGGGGTACACCTTGGGCAGGTCAACAGTCTATCACAGGGCCATTATAGTATATTGTGTTTTTACATCAGCATGTGTCAGTCTGCTTTAATTGAGCTAGCTGTGTGGGCAAGGGTTGGCCTCTGTGTCCATCTGTAGGGTGTAATCCTTCTGACTTGGGCTCAGCTGACCCTGCTTGTGCCCAGTGCCGATTGGGGGCAAGCTCTGGCTTCAACAAAGCCAGCTCATCGAGAAACGTGATTGTCTGAAATGTTGTAATGATGGAAAGTCCTTACACAATCAACATTCGCTATGTATCTGTTATTTCATTGCAACAAGATTTGAAAATTGAGCCTCCCAATTTGGTCTTCTGATGAGGGATTAAAATAATGCCTAGTACCAAAGGCTCCATGTTGCAAGCTAGTAACACCACACCAACACCATGAGTTACAGTATGTGTCGTTTCTCTGTGGCAGAACAACATAGTGCTGGGCCTGGGTGCAGACCATAATACTGGGCCCTCATCCCATAATGCAATTCCTATAAAAGGATAACTAGCCTCTTGTGCAAACAGTAGACTACCAACCATCTTCCTAAATATAACCTCACTTAGAAAACAGCACATACTCATACAAAGAAAATAATCAATCAACAAAAAGGCTATGGACACTGTAGCAGATGCAACATGGACGTAATTAAAAAGTCAACAGTAAAATGTAGCATAGCCATGGTATATTACACATGTAGATTTGTAAACACTAGAAACACGCACACAGGCGCAGTCTAACAACTATTATAGGCTAATTCAAAACAGGGAGCACAGGCAGGGTTAAAAATACACAATGTAAACAACCAAAGCTGTGCTGCTACATTGCAACTTGGAATCAATCATCTTCCTCATTATAGCCTCCCTAGAATCTATCAGAAACTAGCATAATACTCACACAAACAAAATAACCAACAATAAACAAAAAGGCTGTGAAACTGCCATGGGCATGAACAGACATAAACTAGCTTTCACAATTTAGCAGTGAACAGCAGAGTGAAGCACTGTCCTAGCAATTGCACACACATGCAGCTGTACAAGCAAAATAAATATCATTGCGAGTGCATCAACATTTACTCTTCATCTCAGCCACTCTGCACATTTTTGAACATCACCAAATGTAAACACTGTGCTGCCACGTCATTTTAACTTGCAACTAGCTAGAAAATAATGACTGTACTCCCCTATCTGAATAACATACTGCTAGCCTTGCGTGATGGAAAGTTCTCCACGATCTGTCTTGGTCAAATTTCCAACTGTGGAAAAATCTAGTCTATGGCTCCTTGGTAATGAAGGATGGACAGCTGTGCTGCTAGCCAGAGCATCCTCTATGTTTTTAGCTAACATTAGCTCATTTTTGCCAGTTGCTGACAACAATGCAGAGCAAACCTATAAAGAATCCAGTTTCTTCAGTTTCGAAAGTTTGTATTCCAAATCTTGCTTCTCTTTTCTATTTGAGCACTATTCTTGCCTTTGCACATCTGTGGCCTTTTGAAAGAACACACTACGTTTTCCCCAAGCTTGCGTTCTGCACTACAAAAATCAAATAAAACAAAAAAGCCTCTACACTACTGAGGGTGTGTTTGATTTAGGTTACTTTGTATGCTCCGTCAGTGGAGCAAATCCAGCTACTATATAACCTATGAGGAGATAAAATTACGATAACCTTAACAGTAGAACATATTTCACTCAAATAGTCCCTCTGCTGACTTAGCATTTCTGTACATTGTTGATTTATATTATTTGAACATTCACGCCCACCCGGGCCCCCAGATGGTACAAGCCCGAGTGCAGAGGCACCGCTTGCACCCCAATGCTCTACCAGTGCTGGTGCCACCTCCACATGATCAAGATGCAGAAGATAAACCACATATTTTGTGGTGCAGTGCAAACACAACCGAGCTGACTCAGGAGCAGGTCAGCATGTCTCTGCCACACATGCCTCGGCTCCAAAGGGCTGACCCGTGCTGATGGAAAAACACTACTAGAAAGAGACAACCATTCATTTGAACATTCACATCTAGGGGCAATTTAAAGTCACCATTTAACCTATCATGCATTTCTTTGGACTGCAGGTGGAATTCAGAGAACCTGGAGACAACCCACGAAGGCATTGGCAAACCATGCACACAGGGCAGGAAGCATGACACTTATTTAGAGTAATTATTGCATAACAATACCAATGTCTGTTGTGGTGTTGATAGCGGCTTGGTTGGATCCTTTCTGAACAACAACATTCCTCCTCCTGAGCTCAGACACTCCCCAGACTCTGTGCTGCTTTCTCCTGAACCGATTCTTGCACCTTCACCATAATTGATATTTGCAGTTTTTGCTGCTCTCCCCCTGTCTCCAACCAAGATGCCGCCTTGTCCACCTGTTGATTTATCACCGTCAGGGCTTCCATCAGCAGTGGAGTGTTTGGAAACTCTCTGGCTTACAATTCTGTGAGTGCTCCAAGCAGAGGAATCAGCTTCATCTTCTTTAAAGGAGTCATGTTCATCATCATGTCCAGACAGTATGAGGTGACCTTCAGTGGGGACCTGGGTCCACCCCCTCTGCCCAGTTATCATCCCCTCCCCTGCCTCTGCTTCCAGGCCTCCTTCTCTTCCAGACACAGAACTAACCAAGTGTCCACACACCTCTTTTGGTTGGTCATGTTGTTGTCCTCTCTGGCTCCTGAAGCCTTCTGCCCTTACCCGATTGTCATTCTCCTCCAGAGTGAGCTCTGAGGTGCTGTCTAAAGACAGGCCTCCAGCCCCCAATACCTCCATGCACTCTGTCTGCTTTGTGGAGCTGTTCAGTAGCCTGAGACAAAGTAAAACAAAGATTCAGTGTTTTATTCACTCACCAGCTCATCAACTCTACAGTATACCTAATACATTAACAACTATATGAAATTACTGCTGAACAACAGAGAATGTTCCTCAATTTTTTCTTGCCTCCACCTAGGTTATGGTTGACATTTTTGCAGAAATAAACTTGAGATCAGAGATCTGTTGATGTTTTGTTTGTTTATATACAGGCATATATTTTGTACAACAACCACGTATCTCCAGTGAATGAACTTGAATGCTGTCTATGGAGATTCTCATTCCCTTACAAACAGCTCTTTTAACAAGAAATGGCTGTTTTTTTTTTAAAGGTCTATCTAATGTAAAAACAATAGCTTAGTTAACAAGTCTTATTTCACTGATTCTAATGTCTTGAACTTTGTTTTACCCTCTCCAGCTTGCTATTATATCATGTCAACACCATTTTTAGTTGTGTGTTTTCATCAGTTTGACACATAACACAATAATTGTACCTTAATTTTAATCAGTGCAGTTGTCTGCATTGCCACATAACGACCCAAAATTCACTCGCCTTTAAATGTGCATAGCTGTAATCCAAAGTATATTTTTAGCCATTTTGTTTGGATTTGCAGGTGCAACTACAGTGATTGTGTATTGGCACAATGTTGATGATGATGTGTATTACCAAAATGCTTCCGTCATTTAGTGTAGACACCAGCGCTGGCCAGAAACCCATCACTTGGTAACATGCTAAAGTAGTAATATATAGTGTAAAAGATCACAATTTCACATTCAGAGTTACATTTATTACTAATCTCAGTAATAATCAGTTACTTTGGCATTTGTGGGTTTTGCTGTATGCTATCTTCCTGGGTATTTGATGGTGGATTAATATCAGTCATGTTTCAGCAAGGAGAGGCTGGTCTGTGATGTCAAAGCTTGGTGCTCAATGCACTGAGAGGTGGCCAGTTTCTACCTAGAGAAATGCCACTTCCAGTAACTTCTTAGATGGCTTGTTAATGTTAGCCATTGGTACACCTACATTCAGGAGTCACAGAATACTTCTCATGTCTCTTACAGAATATGATTATTCCTTTCTTCTCGCTTGAACCGGAAGACATTCCAATCATGTGAGGATCAAGAATGTCCTGATACTCTTATACTTGCTCTGAGGAGTGGGGAGGATACTGGAGGAGCCATGAGCAAGAATGCACGAGAGCATCTTTCACTGAAGTCTTTTATGGACTTACACAACCCTTTAATAGAAATCAGTTGATGACTGAACACCTCAAATGAAGGCTCATTTCTCATGTCTCTAACAATGCGCTTCCTTGATTCTTCGCTCCTCGCATTTTTTCCTTGTATCGTTTCCTCACATCTTAAGTGGTATTAAGACACAAGGCCAAGACCCAAGTGAGGGAAATGTGGACCAGTACAAGAGACTTGGGAAGCAGCTACACTTCTGTTTAGAGCCAGAGGGTGTGTGAACCACACAGCTGAGGGCAGGACTTGTGGAGTGTTGTGTGTCATCACAAAGGCTAAGCTAGGGGATGGGTGGTCAACAAAATATCCGAACTGTAGGGTTACCCGCTTGGCAAACAAAGTCTTATTTATCATTTCTACATGATGAAAGGTGCGAATGTGGAGGATTTGGAGTTGTTTAAATGACAGAGCTGGGCTGAATAACTGAAGTAAAGTATGAAGTAATGTAACATTACTTTTTTCTGCTGAGAGATTAGTAATGTAATTATTTTTAAGATATTAATATGTAATGGGTCACTGACTACATTTTTCAAGTAATGTGTCCGAAACTGGCAGACACTGATGGTTAAAGCTGTTGCTCCTGAGCTGTTCCATTATGCAGTGTAGACAAACAGTTTTGCGATGTCCTGCTTACAATCACTACACACTATGTATAATAAAATAATAACAATAAAAACATTTATCCTCATACTCCACTATCCATCATACTTATTTCAGGTACCTATGAAGATTGAGACTCATGTTGTGCAGGGCCAACCAGGAATCTCGCAAGCGCTTCATGTCTCTCAAAATGTGGACCTGTCCCTCTTCTGAAGTCCTCTCCAAAACGCCCTGCCCCTGGACCTCCATCTCTTGCAGCTGAAGATCCTTCTCTGGAAACTCTCCCAGTGCTCTCTGTGGGAAGGGGCAAGGGAATACTTTAATATAGATCGTGGTCAGGGGATGGAGAACAAAAGTCATGGAGGCTTAACTGCCAGACAGTTTTTATCATACCACAACCATGATAAGGATAAGGATAATCACCTTTATTGGCCAAGTATGTTACACACAAGGAATTTGTTTCCGGTACAGAACCGATGGCAGCCATCTGCAGCGGCAGCTCAACTGATGGCTCACACACACATAGGCTACACCAACAGTGACAATAAAGGAGGTTCCTCTGAAGGGAGGCCTCCCCTCGTCTTCCCGGACAGCTCCGTTACGCGATCAGCTCTGTACACCTGGAAGCCCAATACTTGTATTGTGCTGTCCTCTATGGAATCACTGAGCCAAGTCTCCGTGTAGCATAAGGCAGCAGAGCGTGCAAAGTCAGGGCTAGTTGACGAGAAGGATTTCATTCATCTTGCTGACTAGGGAGTGGAGATTTGCTAGGTGGATAAACGAGAGTGGAGTCCGCGTTCCTCTCTGGCGAAGTCTGACTAAAGCACCCGTATGCTTGCTACGCCAGCGTTTCTTCCAGGTCCCGTATATGGCAGCTGTGCCTCTGATAAGAATGTCCACACAGCATTCTTTGTTCACAAAGATTGGAGAAAGATAGTTCGGTGTAAGTTGTCCGATATTTAACAGTTTTTCTCTGGTAAAAGTAATCCGGGATGGGTTGCAAGAGACCAAGAAAACAAAGAAAAAACAACAAACACAAGAGAACTCGTGTAACCAAGGCTGCCTTCATTGTCAGCGCCATATAAAGAGTCTCCTTGGTATTTCCATTAAAATTCAGGACCAGGGCCATCATTTAGGGTCAATGTAAGATTTTACAATGCCAGCTGACAGAACAAAACAAGGCAATGACATTAAATTAAGAATGGGGGAAATGATTTGAATCAATTGATTCAACTGATGACTCCATCATGAACCCTGATCCCTGCAAGTCTGGACTTCCACACTACAAACAAGACTAAAATGTTCCTAAGGCATCAGCAGTGAAGTCAACCTTAATGACTGTAGAGAAACAGATGTCCCTCTTCCATCACGATGAAATTATATGCTGAACTGCATTTTTGTCTTATGAAAAAATCACTTCAATGACCACACTAGTTATTTTGCTGCACAGTCAAGACTAGTGAATCCCATTCACCATGATTATATCAATGAAGCTAGGCTAAATAACAGAAACACCCATGTAGTGTATAACCCAGTAGAGCAGCAGAAAGTACAGACTCCACAATGACCCTACAATTGAAATCAAAATACTCCAAAAGCTAAACTATGGCTCCATGCTCTGGAAAATGGCTGGTAATAACAGAAAGTTTAAATGGATAATATTAATAAATATGAAAAGCCACTGGTGTATTAAGACTTATTTGTATATTCTCTTTTCCTGGGCAGACTGACTTGAGCCCATTTCTTCCAACACTGCCTAACTAATGCAGGCCAACATGTTTTTATTGTTGTTATGTTTTCATTTCCCATCCAAGGTTTAAAATTAGGCAGAGGATCGATTTCTTAGTCTTCAATAATATTATTTTGACTAGGAATGCTTCTTATTTCAATACAAAAGGTATAATGGACAGAGTCATATATATAACTGGCTGATATGGAGGATGGCGAGTTGGCTTAAAATTTGGGTTTTAGGCCCAGGAGTCACCAGATGAAGAAATCTCACTCTGGAAAAGAGATTCACCTCAGATGAAAAATACTACGTCTCCATCTCTCCAAGTCCTGGTTGGAAAAGCTGCTATTAAAGCTCAAACATCTAAAGCACCTTATCCAAAGGTCAAAAATAACGTTATTTTGTTTTTAACAACTGGCAACATTTCTGTTCTGTTTTCCAAACTGGAGCAACTCTTCATTAATGTATACAAAGTACACCTACAGCATATCATAATGTTAATTATAAAACCAAATATACATAGAGATGAACTATACTGTCCTTTGAAACTGTTTAATGATCATTGGTGCAAGAACACAAAAACAGACCTCAGCTTCAGGCTGGCGGCCTTCTATGCTCCAGTCTCCTGAGGGGCTGTAGAAAGACTCCAGTTTTTGCCTCATAATCATCAGCCACTTCTCTATGTTCAGCAAAAAAAAAGGCTCTCATGGTCTGCAATGCTCTCCTCACTCTCATGCACCTTCACCTGGAAACAAAACAAAAAGCAGCAGCACAGTCAATGGCAAGGAAAACATCTGAAAATTCACACCAGGCATTGTCAATATCTGGAACAGTATCAATATACAAACAGTAACTTCAGGGCAAAGTGGACAGGTTGTAACCAAAAAGTGCTAAAAATCCATATTTTCAATTTATTTGTCAAAACCTTTTAGTTATCAAAAGGTTACAAATTGTTAAGGTATGAATGATCAACTTGCTTTTCTTCTTCTCCGTGATTTTAGTGGTTGGAAAACAAAGAACCAACTTCTTCTGTGCACACCTAGCCTTGTTATTTCAAGATCAAGATCAAAGATTTTTATTGTCAATTCACTATATGTGCAGGACATACAGAAAATCAAAATACTGTTAATCTCTCACCTACTATTGAATGCCATACCATTTAGCAAAAAGTAGAGGGGGCAGGCGTGGACCAACACCTGTCTGCACGGATCATTAACTACCTCACAGACAGACCTCAGTTCATAAGGCTGCGCAACTGTGTGTTGGACGTAGTAGTCTGCAGCACGGGGGTGCCCCAGGGGACAGTGCTTTCCCGCTTTCTGTTCACCCTCTATACGTCGGACTTCAAGTACAACTCCCACCAGTGTCCTCTACAAAAGTTCTCGGACGATGCCACCCTTGTTGTATGTGTATCTAGGGGGAATGAGTAGGAATATAGGGGGGTTGTTACCGACTTTGTGTAGTGGTGTGAGAAAAATCACCTGGTCCTGAACACCAGCAAGACAAAAGAGATGGTGACAGACCCCCGGCGGAAATCACCAGCATAACGGTGAGCTTTCAGGGCTCAGATATTGAGATTGTGGACACCTTTAAATACCTGGGTGTCCACCTCAACAATAAACTGGATTGGACCAACAACACAGATGCTCTGTACAGGAAGGGCCAGAGCCGCCTCCACTTGTTGAGGAGACTGAGGTCCTTTGGTGTGTGCGGGGGACTCCATCGGACATTTTATGATTATGTGGTGGCATCTGCGGTTTTTTACGCTGTTGTGGGTTGGGCGGGAGGTAGCACGGTCAGGGAAATAAAGAGACTAAACAAGCTGGTCAAGACAGCTGATTCTGTCCTGGGCTGCCTTCTGGATTCGAGGAGGTGGCAGACAGAAGGATGCTGGCAAAATTAACATCCAGAGTGAGTGTTCAGCATCCTCACAGCCTGAATAATGAATCCGTCTGTAAGTCTGGTGCAGTGGGCCCTGAAGACTCTGATACCTTCTCCCTGAAGGCAGGAGTCTAAAGTGGGAGTGTGAGGGGTGGGAGGTATCATCAGCAATGCTGATGGCTCTGCGGATGAGGCAGGTGTTAAAAATGTCCGTGAGGGAAAGCAGGGGGGGGTGCCGATGATCTTGCTGGCTGTTTTCACTATGTGTTTTAGAGTCCTTCTGCAGGAGGCAATACAGCCTCCGTACCACACAGTGATGCAGCCAGTGATGACACTCTCAATGGTGCCCCGGTAGAAGGAGCACATGATGGGGGTGGGACATTGGATGTCCTGTTTACGGAGGAAGTAGAGGCGTGTTTGAGCCTTCTTGGCCAGTGATGTGGTGTTGTTGGTCCAGGAGAGGTCCTCAGCAATATGCACCCCCAGGAACTTGGTGCTGCTCACTCTCCACTACAGTACCGTCGATGGTCATTGGTGGATGCTTTAGGCCACATTCACACTGCAGGCTGAAGTGGCTCAAATCCAATCTTTTTGCCCAAATGTGACCCATGTCCGATTTCCTTATGACAGTGTGAACAGCACAAATCTGATTTTTTCAAATCAAGCCCAGGCCACTTTCATATGTGGTCCTAAATCGGATACATATCCGATGTTTTGCAATGCGACTTCAGTCTGAATGGCCATGTCGCATTTCGTGCGATTTTTATGTCACTGAAATGCGACAGACGTCACAATTCTGCACTGAAGGAGGCGAGGCCATAAGCAATATTTGTACTCTCCTTCTTCTTGATATTCTTATTATTATTATTTCTTTATTTCGATTGCACATTAACTGGTACATAGCTATGCACATGCTATCACGAGACGCATCCATTTTTATTTTCGCAAACACAGTACGCTGCGTCTGACGTCACGTCCTCTTCTGCGCATGCGGGTCACCTCAGGGCCGTATACCATTCACACATGAGACAGATGGCAGTCGCATTTAGTGGAGGCATGTTTGAGCCTTCTTGGCCAGTGATGTGGTGTTGTTGGTCCAGGAGAGGTTGTCAGAGATGTGCACCCCCAGGAACTTGGTGCTGCTCACTCTCTCCACTACAGCACCGCCGATGGTCAGTGGTGGATGCTTTAGAGGTTTTCTCCTAAAGTCCACAACGATCTCTTTAGTCTTCCCCACATTGAGGATGACGTTGTTGTCCTTACACCACTGGACCAGTTGGCACACCTCACTCCTGTAGTTGGCCTCGTTATTGTTGGTAATGAGGCCAACTACAGTCGTGTCATCCACAAACTTGACAATGTGGTTGGTGATGTAAGTTGGCACACAGTCGTGGGTCAGCAGTGTGAAGAGCAATGGGCTGAGGACACACCCCTGCGTTCCTTGGCTTTACTGTAATCTCACATACTAGATTTTTCTAAGGTTATTTCATCTCACATACTAGATTTTCTTTTTTCCCGTTTTGGTTTTATAATGGGGAAAACACCTTGTGTTCTGGTTTTAAAACAAAACGCCTTTTTAATTCAATTTTATTTTGAAATAGAAAAGCAAAAGAAATGATACACAATTTAAAAAGTTTATTTTAAAATTAAATCGGGAAAACAATCTAGCTTTTTGTTTGTGTGATGTTATGGTAAATCTAAAGAGTGCCAGGAAATGAGGAGGCTAGGTGTGCACAGAAGAAGTAGGTCATTTGTTTCCTCACCACCAAGAAGACAAAGTTGCTTGTTCATACCTTAACAACTTGTAGCCTCACAGTTATGGCCACACTTGAACCACATGCTGAATTTATTCTTGAATGTTGTAAGAGTGGAAAAACACACAAATCAGTACTGCTCTGCAGTGTTTTGGTTCTGACTGGAGCACAACCTTTAGAAGAAGGAATCCTGTTCATCATTATTTCAAATCTTTGTATCGTTCATTCTTTCATTTTTCCATTTTAAAATAAAGGTGTCATTTGGTCTTAAAACTAAATAATGGCATTTTTCAATTTAAAACCAAAATGTTAAAACACAACCTAGTTTTTGTTTTGTGTGATTTTAATTCAGTGTTGGAAATATAAGCTGCATTAACCAACAGCAAGAATGCATTACATCACGTGATGAGCTGTAAACAGGAAAAGACCGATTCAAAACCAAACATGTTTGACATTGCGAAGAATATTATGTGCCCTTCTGAAACATTTTTTTTTTCAAATGTTGCATTGCCTGCCCTACACACCAGGTGCCACACAGCAGTTGAGGCAGAAATAAATCACTTTGTGGTTATTGGTTAACACAGCTTAGCAAGGGAAAAGGGAGCACTCGGTCTGATGCAAGGCATTGCAGTGCTAATGCAAACATGGCAGAATCATTTTCACATCAGACTGAAACCACACAAACAATTAATCGTACAGCCCTAATCTTCTGTCTTACCCTGACTTCCTTGCAAAGACGTTTCCAGTCAGCACAGAGCATCTCAAACTGAGTCCTGTTACTCTGACTGGAGGAGACCAGAGTCTCCAGCGCTGTGATGTAGGCGTCACAGTTCTCCAGGTCCTTCTGGATCACCTGAGGACACAGTGACAACAGGCCATGAGAAATAACACAAACAAAGCAGTTTGGTGTAAATTTCAGTTAACTAATGACTGCAGGTAGCATTTCATATCATCATTTAAAATATTGTAGTTGTTAGATATTATATAATGGTCAATGTGGTGATGCAGCCAATCATTTATAACAAATAAATTAATCACTTGCCAACAATAATTTCAGCCAGCATTCACAATGCTAACTGGAGTTTCAGACTGGCAGTTTCTCTGAACTGATATGAACTCAAACCAGTGGCTGCCTAGAGGCAAGGAAAAATGTTCTAACACTGCAACAAGCTTTGACATATGTAGATGGGCAAAAATATGCAAATACTCACATTATACAAGTTCTTGGCAATGTATCCAGCTGTGTAAGCATTATTCCATCAAGCATTTAGTGTCTTTCCTCATATACCACAGTTTGAACACAAGAAAACCTATAAACTGGTGTCATATTCCGATGTTTGCACTATGGTTACTTCTGTAAATTTGCAAAGGTTGCACAAAACTTGCTGTTAATTCATTTGCGTAATCAGTGGAGGTAACAGTACCAGTGGACACAAAGTATTTTGTGTTCCAGCAGACACCTTCCCCAAATCTGGCTTGGTCCTGGGCTGACCTGGGATAAACTCACCCTGAACTGGTCTGACTGGCTTTTCTTGGCCAAGATGTCAGGCTGGAGGCCATCTACTGCCGTCAGTTGATCTCGGAGACCAGCCAGTTTAGAGCGAACCAACCCGTATGTGTCACCAAAGTCCTTAGCTCTTGAGATTAAGCCCTAAGGGACGGAAACATAATTAAGCGTTTGGCTATATACTTTAGCCAGTCATGTCCATATTAAGGCCTGAACAAGGGCCTTGAGCCACTGACATTTCAAATTATATTACTTTATTACAACTTTGAACTTGTATTTTTAAACTGTGATTGTTTTTGACTAGCCACAGATGGATGCTATGAGCCAATTATATTTTATTCTCTTTTCAGTGTAATAAAATTAAAATGTTTTGTGCTTTTGCCCTATAATTTTATACATTTATTACATTTTTATCTAAATACACTTCACAGTTTTTATGTCTAGTGCAGCTACATGCTACAAATGTTATGTATGTACAGTAAAGTAATTAGTATTAATGCAATAATAGACATGTGGGCACAAATTGGAAGGCCGAAGAGTTGAGGGTTAAGAAGCATGCTTATAGCAGCAGAGTGGATTTTTACATGGAGTTTTCCATTCTCACAATTTTAAGCTCTCTGTTCTTGATGGCAGCACTCAGCTCACCTTGCAGATCATCAGACCTCTCAGGACCAAACACGGAGTGCAGCAAGTCTCCCTTCACCTGCAGCTGACCGAAACGCTCCTGCAGCTGCACACTGTCCTTCAGCAAATGCTAACAAAGAAGTCAAAAATGGAGAACACATTGTCTGTTGCTCATTAACTTTCAGTCTCTATTATCTAAACACTCTGCATTGGAGGTAAGGGCCTGTACAAATATTGTATAATTGATGATGAGACTTCAGGATCAATTCCACATATTTATTATCCACACCTTTTTAATCCAGAAAGAATTTCATATAGAACTTCATTCACAATTTTTGTGACTTTACTACAGTACTACTGACATAGTGATGCAACTGTTACACAAGCTCTGAATTTTCTTTTGTTAAAGACTTGAAATTGGAGCACTATACATCTTTCTGTGGGTTAGGTAGGGCACAAATCTGAGCAAAAGAGGAATGGCAAATAAGTAATTTTACTGTACTTCTTTTCTTTCCTTTTTTATTTGGAATCATCTTGTTTATTTAGGTTGTTTTATTGAACAATTTAACAGCAGAGTGAGACAAGGAGCTTTAGGTGAAACAACATGCAACTAAGTTATGAACTGAACAAATTTCTGACTGTACTGACAGATTTCCTACTATGGCTCAGATGCAAGAAAAGTTTAGTATTTTGGTTTCCACCAACATGGGAGTGACTAACAACCAATTAAACCAACAATTTAGTGAATATTATAATTATATTAATATATAGATATCTTATACTATATATATTTCAGCATGTGAAAGAAAATACATTTTAATAAGAATATAATAAAGAGAATGTATGCTACATTGAGGTTGTATATGCAATAGCCAGCAATGATGTGCAATTATGCAGTGCAAACTGAAGATGTAACAGTCAGGTGGGATACATGAGGTAATTCCTGATAATAAGCTACTGTCAGCTGTTTAGGAGTCTGATGGCAGTTTTTCAGTCTAGAGGTCCTGCATTTCACACTTGAGGATGGAGGCAGCTCCCCTGTGGACTCTGCGGTGGTAGATGCTCTGCAGAGAGGGCAGTGGAGTCCTGGTGATCTTCTCCACAGTCTTTACCACTCTCTGCAGGCACT